CTAAACAGCACTGATAGAAACACATTTAGTGACTCTCACACTGACGTTTTTGCTGTTGCTGTTAGGTTTCTGTGTCCACTTTGCCCTCGACGACCTGTTTTTCTTCCAAACCTCCAGTGAGATTTGATGCATCTTCTATCACAATAATCTGAAACATCTTATCTGCTCATGCCACTGTGAAAGAAAACAACAGATGCTACTGCCAAAAGCCAAAAAATGTGTACCGCCAAGTAGGATGAGTAACATTTTTGCACATTTATGAGTCAAGCGTCGATCTTGAGACCTATGTGTTATTCAGTGCAACAAATATGACAAGATCTGTCTAATTAAGTGCTTCTCATGCGAAAATCACATTTGCTTCGTCGACACACTATTGGATCACTCAGGTTGTCCCATTTAGGCATCCATTTATCACCGTAAACGGCAGATTCTCCATACAGTTAACACACAAACACATTATTCAGCACAAGCCTCAACTAAACTCAGTTTTCCTACTTACCAAACTAACACATCTGCAGTCTGACACACTGAATTTTCACGTGACTTATATAGGTCATTTAAATGAGTCCAGCTTGCTGTAGCTAGTGAAGTATGCGGAACAGGGGGGGATTTCTTTTTTGCCGCAGTGTGTGGAGGCCAGTGAGGCAGATATGACTCGACAGGCTCTCTGCCCAAAAGGCCGGCACGCGAGCTCCTCTGACCCGATGAAATATCAGCAGTATCATCTGGAGCAGAAGTAGTGGAGTGTGTGTTGCTGTGTGTGCTTTAGCTTGAAGCCATCTGGGACATAGATACACTGCTTATTGAGGTCAAATAAAACGGATGATATTGTTGAATTCTTGTAAATCATTAGTTCTGTGCATTTTTGTTTCTTCTTTGCAACAACTCAGGAATATAGTTTAGCTAGTTTGGGACCTAAATCTGTAATTTATGTTTATATTTGGAACAGTTGTGATTTCATTTGGTTTTAAGGTGATTCTTCTAAAATGTTTTTGAGCGTTTTGGGAATCAGATTAAGTGAACTTTGCTTACATCTGAGTTGTAAGAAATTATCGGTTAATGTGGGTCTTCAGTTTGGCAAGATAAAACTGGCATATGATGTTTAAAGAATCAGGTCAAATCCAATCGAACTTTAGTTTGTTTGCCTAGGTATGAATTTTTGTTTGTTTGTTTGTTTGTTTGGGGAGGTATGAATGTCCAATCGAACTGTGATGTGGACCAAAAACGTAAACTCTGGTACAAACCTCGGTATCGGTTCGGTTACAGGGAACTCCAGCACGGGTCGCAAGAAATAGCTCGTGATCTTTTACTAATGACAAAAGAGAAATCCTACAACCACTAAAATCTGATGCCACTCCATTTTTGTTTACATTTTGTGAAGAATGAAGTTGCACTCTGTGTCTTCTTCAGAGGTTCTGAGGTCATTCTTTTCAGTAGTTTTTGGTGCAGCGCCACCACAGGCCAGAAGGTGGAACAGCTTTTTTAAAGTCTTTGTCTTGTTTGACGCAGTGCAGTGTGAAAACGAACAGCAGCAACCGAAATCAGTTCAATTCTGGTCCCCAATCGAAGCGAGTCCAATGAGTATCTGGTGTAAAAACAGCCAGGAACAAACCACCTGTTGCCACCCACGGCCTTTTCTTGGAATATTTTTGTTTTGCCACATAAAAGACCGTGACAGCTTAAACCTGGGTTAAATCTTGATGCTAAAGCTAGATTTGAGCTGAGGAAAAACAGTCTTGGATGTATTTTTTGGTTGCCTCTCTAAACTTACATACCTCACATATACATAAAGACTTCCCTCTTGATTTTTGCGTTCATTAATTTCTGTGTTCATACAGTTAGGACATACATGTGATTCCTCATATGTGTCACACCCTGAGTCACGACTACGAGCTTACAGCAGTCTGATCTCTCCTCTCTAGTCTGAGCGCCTCATCCTGGATTTATGCACTTATCATGTTTGCTGCCGCAGACGGTAATCAGGGATCAACTTGATGCTCATCAAAACTGGAGAAACGCCGTGCCGTGTTGAGCCTTTCTGGATGAAATGTGTTTTCAATGAATACACAGCATTTCTTCTTCCTCGTAGGCGAGCAGCCACATCTAAACCCCGCACCAGGAAGTGCGACGCACCGTGGAGACGTGCTGTCTGGCAATCTAATGGCCAGCTCTGGGTTTGGTGGTTGCCAGAAACATAGTGTTTGTTTTCAGGGTGTGCAAGTACGGTGGGTGTGTGTGTGGCTGCGTTTTGTCCGGCAGCATATCAATTTCAGTTCAGACAATTTTATTCTCTGGTCGGATGATTTAGCGATGGCCCGTTCCTGTACCAGACCGCACACAGACAGAGGAGCTCAATTTTATGGAATAAGACACAGTATCTGTCTCATGCCATTCTGTCATGACATATTTACAGCTTCAACAGATATGTGAAAAAATATGTTGTATCAATGTGACATCCTGCAGCTTTAAATGTATTTTCTTAACCTGAAAATATGTCTTTGTTTAATAAGGTTAACAGAATCCCTGTAATCTTGGCTAATAACTAACCACCCAGATGTCGAAGTTAAATAAAACAAAGGGAGCTTCAGATAAGCAAGAATTTGTGTTTCCAGCACCTGGATGACAGGTTTTGAGGAAGTTCCAACCTGAGGAGACGGAGAAAGGTTTCAGGGTTTTTGGACTCAGTCGGCTTTTATCTGACAGTTTGTAGATAGCAAAGGGGAAGACGGAGACAGGGAGGACACACAGCTTATGGACTCTGCTGGGAGTTGAACCTTAGATATCACCGTAGTGGAATGATAACCTCTGCGTACGGTGGGAAATTGCTTGTACTTGTCTAGTTTCTGCCACTTTCTGCATTGCTGGTTGGTTGAATAACAACAACGGAGCAAATACAACACTCCTTTCTGTCAAAGCCACACATTTCAAAACGAGACATTCCTTACGTTAAATAAAGACAATCACACACGTAGCACGTGAACAGCTTATTTTCATCCGTCCGCATACGACCTTTGACCTAATGTGCTCGCTGTAGACGGAGCACAATGAGCTCATGTTTCTGCCGTCAACGGGCCTCGGTTCCCGTAACGGCGCGTGTTGAGATCTCAAGGAAGAAAGAACACATTCTTGTGAAAAGCGCTTCGAATTAATAAACCTTGACTTGGTTCTGAGAATGCCAGGCTTTCATCCTGGTAACTATGTCTCAAAATGGTCAGAAGTCCAGCTGAACAGTTCTCACAGTCTTTCTCTTCGCAACTGAAACAACAGTGTATCAAAATATTGATCCCTTTTTTTTTCTTGTGAAAGCAAGAAAAAGTGGTTTGACAGCTTTCTGCTGAAGCCGCGTCTTCTGTGGTGCAAAATGTTGCATTTTACACTGGAGTATGGATGACCCATAGAAGAAATATCTCAGTTTTACCAGCAATCTACCAGGATACCCTTGTCCATGTTGCGATTCAAAATAAATAGCTGATGCATGAAAACAAAAAGCTGAGTTAGAGTTGGCGTTAAATGACTTCCTCAAAATGTAAAAGTGAATTGAATCGTTGTTGAGTCAGCGTTTCAAACTTGCAGATTGTGAGATTTATTGGAACTAAAGTGCCAAGACAAGTTTATTTGTGTAGCACATTTCAGCAACCAGGCAATTCAAAGTGCTCTTTACATGACAGCATGGTACAGGCATAATAAAGAAAAGTAATGAAATGTTGGAATACAGACTAAAATTAATGATGTCTGAGTTATTACTAGTCAAAGGCAACGCTTGATTTAAAGGAACTCTGTGTTTTCAGCATTTATGTCATTTTCTGGAAGTTTGCTCCACATTAGAGGAGCATAAAAACTTAATGGTTGTTCTCCATGTTTGGTTCTGATTCGGATTTGATGATTTATGTACCAGCAGAAGTATTTTAAAGTCTGTTCTCTGAGCTCCAGGGAGCCAGTGGAAGGACTTTAGAACTGGGGCGATGAGCTGTTTTCCTAGTTTTAGAGCAACAGTGTTCTGGAGCAACTTAATTTGTAATTTACCCTTTTTACGCAGATCTGTGAAAACACTGCTGCAGTAATCAATGTGACTAAGGTGAAACACATTGATGAATCTCTTTAGCTCTCGCTGAGACATTAGTCCTTTGATCCTACAAAATGTTTTTCTGGTGATAGAAGGCCGACTTTGTTACTGTCTTTATGTGAGTCTGAAGGTTGAGGTCTGAGTTCATCACTACGCCCAGATTTCATTCTGATCACTAGATCAGAGTCCTGATTGCTCCCTTTTACTCCAAAGACAATAACTTCATTTTTGTTTCTGTTCAGCTGGAGAAAGTTATGGCACATCCACACATTTATTTGTTCTAAGCATCTGTTCAGTGCTTCAAAGGGTTAATCGTCACGTGGTGACATTGAGATGCATGGCTGTATATAATCTGCATGGTTATGATAACCTATTTTATGATATGCTATAATCTGAAATAGAGTGAACTTGTATATATCAAATAGAAAGGACCCCAGGATGGGACCTTGCGGTACTCCATATGTGATTTTTATCACATTTTATGAAAAGTTGGCAGACCAACCTTCAGATAATGTAAACATATAAGCATGGAGTTACATAACTCACTCTGACCCCTGCATGTCTGTCTTGTACCCTTGTCTAAACTCATGAATTGTCTCCCAGCCCAAGCTGAGATGGACTGATGTCACTTGGCTGGTTGTTCCAGGCTCCACAAAGCAGCCTCAGTCTCATTGAAGACATTACACAATTCTGTACCAGTTCACTGACCTTCAAAAAGATAGAGTGCCAGTTTAGATGTTTTCAATGGGCAGCTGGTTCTGAAACTCTTGTCACAAATCCACTTTCTGTCCTGTTCTATCTTTGTAGGTCATTTACAGAGAGCAGCCATGTATTTCTTACACATTTAAGATCCAGTAAATTGTCATTGTAGGAACTTTTACATCCATTAATGGGTCATTCTTTCAACACGTGTCCATCTGTATGTGCTTCTGCTCAGGCGTGGACATCCTGAAGTTGGTGGCGGCCCAGGTGGGCAACCAGTGGGTGGACATCTATCAGTCTCTGGCCAACGCCACCGAACGTGAGGTGGCCGCCTTCTCAAATGGCTACTCCTCCGATCACGAGCGAGCGTACGCCGCGCTGCAGCACTGGACCATCCGAGACAGCGGGGCCAACCTGGCCAAGCTGATCAACGCCCTGCACCGGCTGCGCCGCATCGACGTGGTGGAGAAGATCCGCTGTGTCATGGAGGACAACCCGCAGGTATGCTTCTGTGCGCATTCCACCTCCACCCTGACTCGAAACGCTCCAAACCAGTTTGTTCTGGATGTCGGAAGAAAAAAAACAAAAAACAATATGTGTGACCTTTGCTCGTATCAGGTTTTTTCCATTAAGGGCTCTATCAACATCAGGCGCACATGTTCTGGTACACACTGTTCTCCGCATGTCTGTTTTACTGAAATCTAATCTGGGAGGCAAGATTTCTCTGATTTTTCCCTCTGAAGCCAGTCCCGGAGGCTCAGCTGCATTCCCCACATTAAAGTACCACTTCACTTTCAGAAGATGATTTGATGTTTCAGCGCTAATTGCAGCCTGTGTTGCAGCATTCTCCAAAGTTTAGGGGAAAATAAAAAGAGAGATAAGGAGTCTTTAATACGAGTTTGGTTCAGGATTCTATGTGCACATGTTCCGGTAGGACGCCACTTGTTACATGCATACTTTAATAAAACTCGAGGAGTTTTGACCTTGCACTGCAATCCCTTACGGACATTTTGGATCATTCATCACCGTTTACTTAGCTTCTCTCCTTTCCTTTCCTGTCCTTCTGCTCTTGTTTCAACAATTTGTATTGAATCAGTGCTCTTGACCACACTCTCCAAGGTCAGGGCTGCACATTAAGCACACCAGCCAGATTCATGTGTTTTTTCATTTCTGCTTTATTATTATCCGATAACCTCAAGACAAAGAGTGATCCTGCAGAAGGTGCAGGTTATTAAAACTGTGTAGAACGGAACTGGCTGGCAAAAAGGCAGTGAGGTGGTGTGGGTCTTGAACCAACATTGGGAAACTGTCAGTTTAATTCTGGTTTTACTTTTCTCACTGAGAACTTAACCAAGCCTGGTGCGCGGTGCTATATGGCTACCAGAAGAGAAGAGCTAAACAAACTTCTCTACTTTGTTAACATAAGATTCCACGTCACGCAAGAAGATAATAAGTTCCTGAAAACTAAGAATGCACCAAGAGGGAAGTGTGGGCCAATATCAATATCCATGACCAAAATGGCTCTTATGGCTGGTAACTGATATTTATTGATATTGTATATATTACATTCATTTCACTATGCTTTTGACACTTAGAAAAAAACACCCAACCCACTAACCAACCTCATCCTCTCCCCGTCCAGAAACAAACAGCACCAAGATGGAAATAAATAGTTTTATTCATCAGACCGACAGCCATATATTAAAAAATGACTAATATCAGCCGATACCGATGTTATTGCCAATATATCAGTCATCCTACTGAAAACCTTTAGCTAACGTTTTTCAATGCAGATTGTTCTTTGTAGATGCTGTAAAGCTTTAGAAGTATGGCCATTTATCATACCGTTTATCATTTATTGTGATAAATTTCTTATCATGATTAGATTTTGATTTATTGTTGACAGAATACATTGCAACTGATGTTTAAGGACCACTAAAACTGTCCTTATCGTTATTTTTCAGTTTTCTTTACTGTTTTGTCAAAAAAAGTGTATCAATGAAGCAATAAATCTGAAAATATGATTAAATACAGTTATTGTGTGCATTTAAGTGACAAAATCACACTTCAGGTAATTAATGGTTCTTATCATCACTTTAAGTTCATATCGCCCATACATAGTACTAGCTCATTTCGGTCACCTTTTTCTTCACTTCCTGCTCTTGATCATCTAACATAATCTTACCGAGTTATCACCCAAGAAGGTGATTAATGGTTCCATATTTTCTACGAAGTGAATCTGTACATCAGAACCAAGCAGGACATTTTTACCTCTAATGTTCTTTGGTTCGGGGTAACCCCTAACCCTTTCACAAGAAATGAACAATGTTTGTGTTCCTTTTAAAGAAACGACACAAGCCGAGCAGGATCATAGAATATAAATAATTCAACAAATCAGATTCCATCTATATTGAAGCCTTGGTATGTTTTGCACCTGCGAAGATCAGAGGATTTTGTTTAGGTAACCCAACTGTGACATAAAAGTTCATGACTGATGCTAAAGTCATTTAGATTTGTGTCTTTGTAATTTTTTAAAAAATGTTTCTCCTACTTATGCTAATCCAAGAAAAATGAGACAGTCGTCATTTATGGGCTGCTACTGAGGTCATGACCGTTTGATGAACTGCATGTTGGTTCTTAATTCACAATGAATCAGTTGTGCTGCATTTTTGGGAAGTGTGTCAATGCGTCTTCTTACACAACGGAGATATCTGAGGCCGGGTTTTGCTTTGTCATTGTCAGTGGTTTTCCTGCTGCAAAAAAAAAAAAAAAAAATGGAGCGTCAGCCTCCTGGTTGACGTTTCTATTTTTGTCCCCGCTTCACCGTGAGAGCTGAAGCCAGACAGAAGTCGAATGTAATCGCCTCCCTCCTTTCATTTCTGTTTCCGCTCACAGAAAGCCTGGAGGCATTCTGAGAGAGCGGAGCAGCGCCTCAACAGAACATCCAGGCTGTGTGTTCACAGCACTGCAGTGATGCTAAAGTAGTTATGAGCAAGAATCTATGCTTCGGTGGAAAGCATAGACTGTTGTTATGCTTCTTTTTTTGTTTGTTTATTAACCTCGTCTATCAACAGAAACATTGATGAACTGATGTCACAAAAATAGTTACACAGTTAAATATTACTATGAGGTGAGACTTTGGTGTTTTAACCTGTAGTAAGTTTGTGGTTAGCATCCATTAGTTAGCCTACAGTCCATTATTATGCTACACCACCAACAAAATATCACAGTCATGGGTTTAAATGCTTGTATCCTTGTGAGGAAGCATTTCTTTTTTGTGGCTCTTGCACATAGTTTAAGTGATGAAAGAAAAAAATGGGTTTTCACATACAAATCCCCGTTTTATAAGATCAAAGTTGACTAGTAAAGTGAGGCAAAGCCTTTGTGGATTATGTGTCTGAAAGAGATTCCGTTGCTCCTTTGGACTTCTATGGTGAATGACTGATTAAAGAAAAGTTCTTGTGAGAGTGTAAATTAAAGCATCATGTTGAAGACCACGGCAAAGTTCACACAGAGTGGCAAAACAGAACGGAACGACCTCTTCTTTTATCACCAGGTCCTTTATAAAGTAACTCGATTTAAAATTTGCCCTGATACTCAAAATCAGAAAGAAAATAAACATTTTTGCTGGAGTTCGTAGGTTAGATTATTGGGTCTAATTAGTATATTACACAAGTTACTGTCATTCTATGAATTTGATTTGGTGGAACATCGAGTCCTGGCATGCATTAGAAGTATGCGAAGTTGACGCAGTCTTGTGTAATGTTTGTGTGTTCTGGCAATCAATGTGAGATTGACAGTGTTCTGCTGCATCATGACCAGGTGCGTTACCTTTCTGTGATTTTACAATCTGACACGATGAAGGATCGACTGACCATCTGGGATCAAAATGTCTAATGGAACTCTAAAATGTTCCATTAGACGGATGTGGCACCATCAGGCATCTAGGAATTGTACCCAGGGACGAACCGGGTTTCCGGAGAGCCACAGTTCTCTTCCAGTTAACGTTCCTGTGATTTATTCACACAATCAAGCCGCTTTTGAGCCATGGTTCTGTAATCAGACACTTACAAAACCATGGCACCATCATCAATAGGGTTAAAAGAAAAATCACGTGTGTTCAGTACAATGTGGGAACTCTAAAATACCTCCCATTGGTCCTTTGAGCAATCTTTCACAGTCTACCACTAAAGGGCAAAAACATTCCAATCCTATTTTGCCTTTTAACCATGAAGACACAATCAAAGGCAATTTGTGACATAGCTTATGGCTTAGTGTTTATGGCTTACTTCCCATTAGCAGCCTTTCAGTCCCTTCTCCAACAAGCCCCAGAGCGAAAGAGCACATGCTTTTCTTTCTAAAGAAAAAGACAACAATTTCAAAGAAGTCCCTCTTGAACTTTTTTAAATGCAATTGGGGGCCGTCGCCATCACATGTCTGTGATTGTGTTTGTTCCACTGGGGTGTGTAAGTGAGCATCCAAACCCAAGCTGAAGGGGGAAATTCTTCATGAGATCACAGTTAAAACTTCAGATTAAAGACATTTAAACCGACTCTACAGGAAAAATGCTGAAGAGGGCAATCTGTCAAAGAACAAGATCAACAGTACAGCAAACACCAAATATGCAAAGGGTGTTAATGATCAACAAGAAGTGGGGAGTTGGAATGAGTACATGAGACATGAGATATGGTCTATTATTAAAGAACAAGTGAAGCAAACACTCTAAAACATTTAAATACAGATCAGGTTTCTGTTCCAAACCAGGAACACAACTAATCCAAGACTAGCTCAAGATTCCCTGAGATCTTATAGAAACATGAAAAAAACCTCTAGATTTTAACAGATCATTGTTAAAATCCAGGACATGCACTGATTAGGAATAATTAGAAATAATGTCTTAATCAGAATATTGTAGATTAGTAGTGTTTTCACATCACCATAGTCTGGTAGACATGGGGCCCACAATGGCAAAATGGCATTTGTTCCATTTTCAGCTGTTGTTCACTTCCAGCCTGCACTGTGTGAAGTGACCCAAACCCTTTGGAAAACCTGTTCACCTCCTCACCTGTGGTGGCGCTGCATCAAGAACCACTGAAGAAAATGGGACAAAAACCTCTAAAGAAGAACATACTGAGAGCAACTTTCTTCTTCATGAAATGCAAACAAAAATGGAGCATCATCAGATTTTAGCAGTTGATTTCTCTCTTGTCTAGAAGACAAAAGACCACTAGCCGTTTCTCCCACTGGTGCTAGACACATAGGGTTGTTTTACCCAGAATGCCCTGCGATGTAGTCTGTTTTGGAGAAGTTTCTAGTCCACTTGGTATCCGTGTGCACGTCAACCAAACCAAGACCAGGCGTACCAGGGTTTCGTTTTCGTTTTTTGGTCTGCATCAGAGTTCAGATACTCATTCACACCTCCCCAAATTAATTGGAAGTTTGATTAAAGTGGACTAAAGAAGGCTGTGGTGAATTCACCCTCAGAGTTGAGAAGCTGAACATACAGAGGGAACAACACAGAGGGAGCCCATGTTCCACTTGAGTCTGCATCTTAGCAAGCAAAAATAAATACATTTTGGAGTGACAAGGTAATCTTTTGATCTGATAAAGTGAATCTCTCCCCGCTACCCTTCATTCTGCTGCAGTCTGCCACTTCTGCCAAGTGAGCCTGGCTGGCACAGTCCCTCAGAGTGTGTACGTCTAAACAGCCTGTGTGCTGGGGAGTTGCGTGTGTCTTGTCCCCAGCAGGCCCTCGCGTTGCGCTGAAAGCAACGGTCAGCAACTCAGTCTGGTGGTTTTCTCGCCCACACGCACAGGAACACACAGGCCTCGGAGCTTTCTGGAGCCGCCGTTCCTTTGTTCCTCTCCGTGACCCCGTCTCTGCTTCGTCGTCCTCTGCAGTTCAATATGTACTGCGTGTGAATAGCGGTGCAAGGAAACGGAACTCACATTGGTTTACAAGAGGCTCTCAGATGGAATACATATATATTTGCGAAAGACTCTGCCTGGGTGGCCCGTCATGCTTCACTGGGGACAAAGCTTCTGTTGTTTGCCACTGTGGTCTGACGTTATGCGTAAACTGTAATCTGCTACTTCATCTAGTTGATTAAAGTAGATTTACTCAGTCATGAAAAGCATTTTGATGGAAAACGAAGCACCAAAACGCGTACTGAGAGCAAAATGTGGTTAAACACCAAAGTATGATTTATATGTTGAAGCCTTCAAAGTAAGCCCTTTCTTCTTTGATAACAGCTCTGCACACAGTCATCAGTGCTTGAAGCAGCTTTATGACTTTGTCAGCTCGAGAACTTGTGGGTTCCCTTGTGGGAACGCCGTGTCCTCTTTGAATGATTTTCCCTTAGTGGTCGAACTCATCTTTTCTGGGGTTAGACCGGATAATTGCAGAGGTAGGCAGATCTGATGCCATCCGTCTTTTCTCTTCCTTCTGGGTCAACAACCTCCTTCGAACCTATATGTGAATTCTGGCTCTTCATTTATTTCAAAAACACTTTACTGCGTTTCTAGAAATAGATTGGTTTGTCTATTTTTAGTTGGCTCTATTAAGTTTGCACGTTGTCTCCATCCAGTCGCAATGCAAATTTTAAGCGAAGTAGGCATATTTCCATCTGTTGGTTTTGAGTGAATCGTCCAGGCATGATTTTGTCAGATGTTGACACATGGTTGTAATGAACAAGATGTAGAGATTGCAAAACAACACAGACCAATGATTTTATAAAAATTGTGAGTTTCTTGGATTCTTGGACTCATGAACTGTCCATGTCTTCTGTCCCTGCCACCTGAAAATTCAGCTGTTAGCATGTGACCCATCATACAGCAACAGTCTTCATTCAGAGGCCACTTCGGGTCAGGAGCAAGACTTCCTGGCCACATCACCATCTATAACGACGATGATTGAAGATACTTGATACGAGTTACACTTACATTTTCTTCATAATAAATATAGTATTTTTTAATTGAATTGAATCAAAATATCAAAGAACTTTGGAATTCACCGATTTTCAGACGTTTTTTTCTGATGCCTGCTTCATTTTAGAGCCAGTCTGTCCTTTTTAATCCTTAAAAATGCTTGTGGCCAAAAGGCTAGAAGTGGGGTAAACCCTGGACAGGCTGTCAACTCATCACAGGACAACACAGGATCACGTATTACAAACCGCTATGCATGCTCACTAGCACATGAGGATAATACAGAATGATCAGTTAAAGGAACATGCTGCTTTTGGTCTCTGGGCAGAAGCTGGAGTACCCTGAGAATTGTATGACACACATTTCTTCACATGAACATAACACAGTTTTTTTTTTTTTTTTTTTTTTGTATTTTCCTTTGTCATCTGTCAGGATTTTATACTAAGGTGAAAAAAAGAAAATGACTCTAAAGGGTTTTTTTCTACACTGATTTGAATACCTTATTCCTCACCAGAGCCAGTTAGTCAGTAACATGTGAATCAATTGGACTGACCTACTTTACTCTAAACAGCCATGGTGTCATTCAGCACAACTTAAACAAATAAGCAGTAGACCAAACTGTAAAACAGAAACCAAAAATATTTGCTAACCAGCAGCTACAAGAGAAACAGATCTATGTAACAGAAGTATTAGCTTAGCAAATGCTAGCATGACTTCCTGTCCCCTGGAGATGCTGTTTATGGTTCTCTGCGGATCCCTCTGTTTTCCTACAGCTGCTCTCAGAAAAAACATTACTTCCAATTGTATTCATTCAGGGTATCACTGTCCGGACTCTGCATATAGATGTAAATATGCCTTAGCTAGCTAAACAAAGCATGTGTGTTCTGTCAGAATACAGCAAACCAGATGTTGGGGAACAAAGGAGGAAAGCTACCATTATGTTTCTGTTTCATGTTGTGAGCAAACATTTCTAACAGATTGGTTTCAACAACTGAATAAAAAAAAACCCTGTTTTGTCCTGGGTCCTATCCGTTATCTCGGGGATGAAATGACCTCTGCCAAGTGGGGCTTCGCAGTGAAAAACAAGAAGCTCTCTCATGAGCTCATCCCCAAACCAGTCGCTACTGGTTCAAACCACAGGTTCATTACCACACCAAAGACAGAGACACGAGGGAGCGAGGGGAGAGGGGAGAGGGAGAGAGAGATAGGATAGGGGAAAGAGAGGGAGAACTGGGAGGATGGGAAGACGGGAAGAACCAAACAAAGAGACAAAAGCGCGAGAGTAGGAAGAACGGAAGAACGAGGAGGAATTACAGATAAAGAACCATAAAATTGCTCAAATTTAGTTGGGGGATACTAATGTTGTTACATATTTAACATGTGATTTCTTAGGCAACCTCAAAACACAAACCCTTATTTCCTGACTGATAACATCTGCCAGCAGGAAGTTGTTTTAAGTGGCCTTCTTTTAATCTGAAGTCATATCTCCATCTTCAACTGTCTCAAACAAGAATGAGAACCTAAACACATGGAAATAGGAAGGGTGCAAAAATACGTTAAATTTAATCATATGAAGATTTTACCATATTTTTAAAAAAATAAGTTATATTTATTCACAGAAACACACATGCAAAACTGATGTACATCCTGTTTTAAACTATTATCCCTAAGCATCATACGACTTTAAGTATATATATATACCACTAAGGCCTGTTGCTTCATATTGAACACATAGTCATCTACTGCCATCTAGTGGTCAGCGTTTAGGCTAATTTTGGAACATGCTAGCTACCTAAAACATGTGTACTGAATGAACAAATTAACTTAATTTATAATCTGCTTGGTAGCAAAACATAATATATCTGTTACTGTTTATAAATGAAGAGATGGGGTATGTTAGGAATGAAATGGTTTGTTTAGGAGATAGAACATAAGAATGAGAAGGGGGTTGAAATCTGTGCAAAACATGAACTGAGTCGGACTCCCTGCCTCCTAATGGCTGATGGAGTTCACCCCAACTCTCTTCACCTTGAAGTTGTAGATAGAATAAAAAAGGAGAGAAAAACGGGGTAGATTGATGATGCAAAGTTGCCAGGAGCCAAAGGCTCTTTGGAATCATTTCTTTACCTTTGAAATGAATGATGTCAACCCTTTTTAAAACATGACCTGAAATTAATGTCTCTTTATATTATCATTACTACTATTATTTAAACCTATTGAGGTTTGGTTGATAGTTAAAATCCTCCTGTCTCTCCTCTCCATGCAGTTTGACATCAACCAGCTGACGACCACAGTGAATGTAAGCCAAAGCCTCAGCCCCATCCACAAGCTGCTGGAGTCGCCCAGCAGCAGCGGAAGCAGCAGCAGTGGCGGCAGCATGTACCGAGCCGGCGGCGTCGGACCTGTCCAATCGCCTATGGACCGAACCAAAGGTTTCTTCGCCGATGAATCAGAACCGCTCCTCCGCTGCGACTCCACGTCCAGCAAAGACTCCGCCCTCAGCAGAAATGGCTCCTTCATTACCAAAGGTGAGAGGGGAAGTTCAGCCAGGACACAGTGAACTTCGAACCGTTTCTCCACTTGTTGTTTGACGTGTCACGTACACCTCCAACCAAAGGCGGAGATCCCAACATGATGAAGTGTTTGCTTACTTTACTTGCTCAAATAGTTTGAAAATGTCTGCACGAACTTTCTTATTGACATAATAATTGGTATTCATTTGAAAATGATCAAAAAAAACTCAGCTCTGTAAATAAGTAAAAAGCTGTTGACGTTCAAAGACTCCTTAACATCTCCAGGAGGATTTGCAATTCTTATGTAATCGATGGAACGTTAGCTGGAGATAGGCACCAGCACCCCTCCCGACCCCACTAAGGGACAAGGGTGTTAAGAAAATGGATGGATGGATGGATGTAATCAATGGAAGTAGACAAAGAATAATGAGGAAGAAAGTGTCACTTTATGAGTCTGTCTGCCTGTGACTCGTGTTTTAGTCGTTACCTACTGCTTGTATCCAGATAATAGAACAGATCTTCTGTGTTCCTTGTAGAGTCACTCCTGTGAGTCAGTCTGACACAGAAACTGTGTCACCGGGTAACTTTGTTGTAAACGCCGCAAGCATCGGTGAGTAGGTTACACACTGCTCTGAACATGTGTGTAACCTACTCAGGTAATGTAATACACTGTACAATTCAAATTTTAGACATAATGTGAAGTTACAGCGGTGGACTGGTGTCATGGTAGGCAGCACAGATTCTTCATTACAGTGGAGCCTTTGGAGTTCAGCTGTTTCCGATTCTTTAAGTCCTTAACAAATGATTCAGACTCTCATTATTGTTGGCTCATTGTTATTGTAATGTTACGGCTGTTGAGAGAAATGTGGGAAAACATGACTTCCAGTTATAAGTAGATGTTTGGGTGCCCTCATGTGGTCTGTTCTGGCTATTACAATCTGTATATTCATGAGGAACCTAATCTGATTGTGCATGTTGTCAGGACTATTTTAAATTTGTTTCCACAATTCATGAGAAATTGCTTAAGTTTTTTATTAGATTAAATCATACCCATTACTATAAGAGCTAAAGAACAAGAGCAGAAAGTTACTTTACTGACTCTGGTGTGAAAGATAATTACACCAATGTTGTCCAAAATTACACTTCTACACTTAAGCGAAACTGAACAAAGCCATCTCAGCATTTTGATTAAAGTTCAAATTGAACCGGTTGTTATTTATTGTCAGTGAAGACTTTTAAGTAAAAAAAAATAAAATAAAAATAAAAAAATACATACAGTATCTCTCCACTGGAGGGCAGCAAAACCTAAGTTTAAACCTTGGGGACGTTTCATCTTCTTAATTTGCTAACAGAAAAAGACACAGAGTTTTAAGAGGATTTTTGAAAGATTCACCAACTCAACTTTATTTCTTATAAAGAACATTTTGAATGTAATGTAAGACTTATACCTCCAAAGAAAGGTACCGACTTCGTCCAGCCAACTGGCGATAAATTAGCATTCAGCTTTTTAGCTAGCAAGACAATGTCAGCGGTGACTCACATAAAGCAATGAAGGTTTAAAACTTTTTAAGGTTGTCTTTAATATTATTCCAGCTAATAGTCATTAGTGAATGAACATGCTGCTGGAAATACAAATGTTTCAATACCTAATACTGAAAGAAATATTTGGGTGGTTTTCAGGTGAAGTATAATTGCAAAAACTGTAGCATTCAATACAAGAATAATATAATCGAATCTTTTTCTTGTGTCCCCCTGCAGAGAAGAAAGACACGGTTCTCCGGCAGGTTCGCCTGGACCCGTGCGACCTTCAGCCAATCTTCGACGACATGCTGCACATCCTGAACCCTGAGGAGCTGCATGTCCTCGAGGAGATCCCCACCGCCGAGGACAAGCTGGACCGACTGTTTGAGATCGCCGGAGTGAAGAGCCAGGAGGCCAGCCAGACGCTGCTGGACTCCGTCTACAGCCACCTGCCTGACCTGTTATAGTGGAGGGTGTAGGGAGAGAGGGAAAAATAAATAATAAAAAAAAAGCACACAGATGTTCAAAGGCAAAGGGATTGGGTGTAGTTAAGACTTAGTTTGAGTTGATTTTTTCAAACTGGTGGAGTTGGACTCATGAGGCCACTAGTGTAACACGGCTCCAGCAGGTTATTTACCTTTGGTCTGCTCCCTCTGATGAGTCCGGTCAATCCTGACCACTCCTTCATTCCTTCTGTATAAAAACCCCCTCTGCTGCGCCACATCACCACTGGTGATGCTAACTGTGAGGCTCCAAGGCCTTCTGGGTTTTAAAGAGTTGAGTCCAAACGGCTTGAATTATGTACAGACTCCACTCAACTAGCACTTTATTTATCTGAAACGGCCAACGCCTTCTTGTTTAAAGGACAATACCGGTGTTTTTTCTTGTTTGTGCCAATCATTTAGGCCCTTCTTGCCTTTACTAATATTTCAGTGTAAAAGTTATATTTATTATTAACACAACAGGCAATGGTATATAAGCTATAACTCTAAACAACACTGGTATTATTCTTTGATTAAGGTTCTTGTAAATCAAAACGGATTGGGCTGATTTCTGAGTCGTGTGCCTAAACGTGTTCCCTTCCACAAATCTTCGCTTTGTTTCCTTCCTGCTGCCTGATCCTGAAGGGGGGGATGGGTGTTTTTTGGTAGCTTGTGACCACCAGCAGGTAGTAGCATCACTTCAACAGTCTGACACCAAATGCATCGATTAAAATGATTCGAGACTGAAGGAATGCAGTGCCTCATAAAGCACCTCAGGCTTTTCCACATTTGGTCATGTTACAACCACAAACCCTATGTTCTTTCAATGGGATTTTATATTAAAGGCCAAACTCAAAGTAGGGTATTGCTATGAGGAATGGAAGAAGATACAAATTAAAATCTGAAAAGCGTAGTTTGCTGTTTTGTTGAATTTTCTGACCCGGCCACATGTGGGCAGATTTTTTTTACCTCCTCCGGCAGTCTTAAGAGATGGGATCATTTGGACCTCACATGTGTTTTACGAGGTTTTCTTTGTGTGGTTTCTGGAATTGACGATCTGATGGCACAACAGCCCACCTCCCTACGCCTCATTGCTCTCTGACCGTCACATTTACCACGCTCCTCAAAGTCCTGACCTTCATCCAGTTGAACATCTCTAGCTCCACTTCAGATTAGATTTTGAGACACACTCTCCTTCCAACAAGCAGAACCTTTTCAGTTTTTAGATGTTAAACATAAAGTAACCGCAAAAGTGATGAAAGGCCATCACAGGTTCTGGTTGTAAAGTGACAAATCGCTAAAAAGCTCAGAGGATATCAATACTTAGACATTATTTTAGCTCACCTGCCAGTAGGAGAAATGCCTTTTTTCCCCCTGTTTTGTTTTGAACTTCACTGGGAGAGAAAATCTCTTAACTGCCCGTTTGGTGAACCCTGACCCCACATGTGAGCCCAGTGCAGCGCTGAGAAAGGGTTCCTGATTCATTTCAGAGCTTCCTGGCAGCATCAAGGGAAATAACTCAGTCCAGTTTTCTAGATGTTTTATGTTCTTGATATTCCAATGTAATACTCATGCACTAATGGTAATTTCTGTATGTGCTTTTGTCTTGTTTTGTTTTGTTTTGTTTTCCATACTCACTTTGATTTACTATTATTAGTTATTGTAGCATGTGGGTTTCTCTGTCCTCTGTTTGTATGTTTTTGAACCCCTCCATCCCTGGCTGGGGTTCCCTCGCTGGGCTGTAACATATGCATACTCTGTACTCTACTTGAAGTCTGTTACTTGTGCTCACCAATGAACAGAGTGCAGTCTACCGATTCCTTTAACCTTAAACAGTTTAAACCTCATGAACCCCCTCCGTCTTCAACGCATCACGGAACGAGGAGGCGACGTTCTGCCAGAACCTCTGTGGTGTGGACTCTCGCCTTTCGGCCTGGCAGTGGAGAACTAGGACATGATGGAAGGAAAATGGCTGCTTCAGGTACTGCAGCTTGGATGGATGTGACTGAAGGCGGTGCTGCTGTGGACTGCAGTCTGGATGACGGCGGTGAGGAAGTGTGAAGTGGCTGTCCGCTGCGCTGTGGGGTTACTTGTGTCTGAGAAGATGATTTCATCAAATTCACAACTCAAATGTAACCAGTATGTTTACTCTTCAGATTAACTAAATAAAGCTAATTTTTTTTTCTTTTTCAGATTTTTGTGCAGAATTTTGTCATTTAGATTCCTGGGAGTATGGTATACTTCTGTTTGTCTTGTAATGTGTGTTGTGGTTATTTAAAGTAACTCATCTGAACAGAATTTAACACAAATATGAACAATATTACAGAATAACTAACCTTAGTCATTTCAGCATTCGGTCGGCTACTAAATGAGAATTTCATTCTGCCAGCTGGGAGTCTGACTGCAGGTGCAGCTGCTCAGAGCCAAGTTGCAGAAAAGAGAAATGGTTTAAAACATCTGAGCCTTTTAGATTTTAAATGAGAGTTGGAAGGACAGAGAAAAGTTTGTAAAAATTAAAAGGAATCATAATAATATCAACAGGACTGAATTTAACCAATCAAAGCCAATAAATCCTGTTCCATTTTACATATATATATATATATACATATATATATTCTTTTTTTTTTAAAGTTCAGGTAGATTTTTCTATCATGCATATGTGCCAAGATATAGAAAACTTTTTACTTGTTGATTATCATTTACAGACATACAATTATGTATACAAGCCTACAGTTATTAAAGAGGCATTATTATACGGTATTATGCAGTATTACAATACAATAATGTAGCTATGTTACCTTCAGTTGTTATAAAAATGCTGCATATATAAAATATGACTTAAACGAAATTTGACTTTGTCATTTAATGCCTTGAAATTGGGCCTCTGTCTCTTTAAGAAACTCTTGCTCTTCCTGAAACTTCAGGAAATTATCACGTCACCTTCTTAAACCTTTAACAATGTTTTTATCAGTGTTTCACTGAGAGGTAGCTCATATAATGAGGTCAGCAAATGCACAGCTTTTCCAGGTGTTTGCTAATTGCTGCTGGCTAGTCTGAAAGAGCTGAGTTAGGGAGTTTTGGGGGAGGGGTTTCTGTGAGGTGAAAGCTTGGAAACTGCAGCTCCGAGGAGGCGACGCTCAGTCCACCTGGGTGTTTTGCACAGCTGAATGGTTGCCATGGAGATTAAAAGATTTCTCGAACCAGCATGAAAAAAATCAAAGCAACACCAGGTATAATTTTGATGAAAGAATGACATTATGATATGATGTAATGGTTAAAAAAAAGCTGATTATACATAATACTGCCCCTTTAATGCCTCCGTCCTGCTCTCCTACCTCACACCTGTAACCTGTTACCTGATCAATCTCAGTCCATCGCTGCTCCAGCATTCAACCTCCCAGCTGCCTCTCTCTGATCACTGCTCCCTCCCCTCGTCTCTCCTTCTGTACTCGCTCTGAGTGAGTATGTCATTTATAGTATACTTGTCAAAATGTAAGTGGAAATATCTCAAATAGGGATATCTTGGCTTTTGTTCTGACAGCAAAGTGCTAAGCCCCTCCTCCTAGCTCTGATTGGTTGTTTGTGACCTTTTCATTAGACTTAACCTGAGTCAAAAAAGATTCATAACAACCAGCAGATGGCAGCAATTCAACAGCCAGCTACCCAATCAAATGTCTAGTGAAAGAGGTTATGTGAAAATTGATTCATATACACATATATATTCCATTTTATAGTTATGAGCTAGCTTGTATAATAGTAAAATACATCAAAAGTTGTAGAAGTAATTTTAATAAATAAGAGTTCTGAATATCTATCTATCTATCTATCTATCTATC